GTGGACCAACTGGAAAACCAACGACGAGCATCTGACGATAGATACTTAAAACATAGTGGGGAGAAGATGCACCATATGACCATATTCAGCATATGAACATATTCAGCACAGCATGTACAAGCGGTCACGACCAACTGGGTGTGGACTACACTTCCGGACAGTGATCACATACGCAACGGTTACTGGCGTATGTAAAAACGTACATATATCACCGTGCCGTGCAGTTCCAGATTTGGTAATTTGCAAGAACAAGCTGCCAGTAAAGAACGATCATTCCTATCATATTATAATTTAGTGTGAGAACTGAAGTGCTGGTCTGATGTCTGTGCTACATATTGTATCTGCAAATAACTATAAGCGTTTAAATTGATTTTGTTTTGAACACCAGCAGGTAAACAATAACCTAGGACACTTTTAGAGTACAAATACAACAATCGCATAATATACATAAGCGTATGACTATATATCGAACGTATATTAATAGAAAGTACGATAATCAGTATGTTCCAATGGTAACCTATCCTTATTTAGACGCAAAATGGATTCCGTGGGTCTGGTAGGTGTGTTCTATCGAACGTTTTGATATGCAGACATGCGCTGTTTCAGGCAACCCCTATAGATATGGCAAAATCGGCCTTGCATGGTCTAAAATGAACGTGCGTTCTTGTAATGGCAATTTATTAACTATTTTCGAAAGGTTGGAATAATAGCACTTCTTTCCGACACCGTCTGACAAAAATGCAATCAATGTTGCACATTGTCAATGTGAACTTTGACAGTACCCACGATGATCTGCAAGATCGACGATGTTTTTGGCAATTGCAGTTCCGTTTCTAGAATTATGGCATACCATACCTCCATCTCTGCACTTTTCATTCATTTATGAGGCATTTCGAGAATACGCACATCGAGAGCAATTATAAAAGAAGCTCCTGACGGTTTGCGATTTGATATTTTTATTTTTTATCAAAATGGCAAAATAAAATTCTTTAACCGAGAATGCATGCATCTTCATAAATCAATACATCGATCAATCAGTCAATCAATCTTTCGTGAATCGACAAGTTACCTAAACAAATAATGGCCATGATGGCAGTCGCACGGCTTGACAAGCTAGCGAAGGTGACAGCCAGCCGGTCAACGAACCGAACGAAACGAAACCAAAAGACACCGTGGTGTCGTGGCAGTAGCGGCTATGTGTGAGGAACAACAAATAATAATTTCTACCTAAGAGTTTCTAACTGAGGGTTGCTGGAAGCTCGTCCGCCGTCCGAAGAGCGGCCCGTTCTCCCGAGCAGGTTACTCACTCACTCCGGCACGCTGTTGCCAAAAAAAGAAACCGACGTCGTTACCGCGGGGTCAGAGGCCATACTGGCCACGGCGACAAATGCAGAAGAGACTCGCGAGTCCGTTCACCGCCCTGAGGGTCACGTCTCACCGCTGTAGATCAACTTCAGCCGCTCGATTATCTGGTCCTGATTGACGTACTCGAACACGTCCGGCGCACTCAGCAGAATGCCGACGGTGCCGCCCAGGGTCACGCCGAAGAAGATGTACAGCAGAAGACGGTCAATGACCATAGCGACGTATCTTTAAACAAACGAATGTAATGAATTTGCACGACACACGTTGCCGGTACACTGCAACATAGTTGAACCATGGTTTCTGAGTGTCATAAACAACGAACGAATACACGATTCTGAGTCAACACTAGATTTTTGCGCACTCATTTGCGAGGCCAATAATTGGAGCAGCTTGTTGTCTGAGTCATAACGAGCTGGCTGAGAGCGGTTGCCCTTTGCAGTAGAAAACTGCACCCGCACTGTTCCTGTTCCAAGGTATCCGAGGGATGCAGAACCGCAAGAGCAGTTTATTGTACATAGTATTCTAGCCTGTCAGTAGCTTTGCATGTGTGTAGTATTCTTCCATGGCCTCGTCCGATTATAAAGTAATTTTGTGTAAGAATGCGCTTCTGCATATATTAATGAACCTGGCAGACTGAGCACTGCCACTGCTCAAATACCATGGATCTTTGGCCTAGTTAAATATCTCCCCTGGACTTGTAGGGACAAACGCGGCATAATTCTGCTGTATAACTCGGTGCAATTACTGTACGAGTCAGCGCCAGTCATTATAATCAATTACTACGATACGTGGCGAGAATGCAATAACATTGAGCTGAAGAACAGTCGTCTTTGTGCCCGTTGTCAAAACGTGCCGATTGACTGACTGAATTCTAATTTTGAATAATCATTTGCAATTCTGTTAAGATAAACGATGGAAAAATCCCAAAAATCTATTTCATGATAACGATTTATGTTTTTAATAGATTATTCAATAATCTGTTGAAATAGGGCTTGACTGACTTAATACTCTATGGTAGAACGCTGCGTCTTAAGGTTCAGCTATTTTCAATGCCTTATAAACCGCTCACCTATCCAATATGAAGGCGCATGTTTAAAGGAAGTGTAGAGAAATGCACGGTCTTAAACCATTGTGGTAACTATCTTGTCACGAATCTCAAAACAGCTAGTCTACGAGTCTATGAATGAAATTTTTTATTCTTGAGCCATTGTTAGAATTATTGATTTTCTTAATTCAGAGTTTAAGCCTATAACAAATATAACCGATTAATGGTAAAATCATTTATACAATGCCTACGTATTTCTGGGAGACACTTGTTCAGAGACATATATCATCAACAGAGATAATTTATAAGCACATCTTCGCACAGTTTGCTTCAAATGAAATCCTTTCGTATTTTGTTCTTTATTGGCAAGGGACCATCTAAGCAGACCGTCATAAATGATGCTTTAGCAACTAGTGGTAGTAGTCAGCAAGGTGTGGTTCAATACACCATGAAATCAGGAGAATCTGTCCATCATTTAACGCACTCCGGTGTAGGAACATATCTTCACGTTTATGCAATGGTGTGTGAAAAATATCAGCTCCTGAAGCATCGTTCGCAGTGAGTACGAAACTGTTTCATCAAAGAAAATGATGCGAAATGTATCTATCACTGCAGGTCTTCAAGTATCATGGATCTGTGATCTGCTTGAATGCCCCCCCCCCACACACACACACACACATTAGACAGCCAGAAGAAAGGGGTGACGCAATAAATGCAATGTTGTCTTTGAGGAATTATATGTCATGTGATTAGAAACAAGTTTCTATGAAAAGAGTGCAGCTTGAAAGTCGTTGTCCGTGAAACCTACTTTTGCAGCGACTAAGGAACAAGACTGAGAGCCGAGATCATATCATCAGCAGCTAAAGTACAGTGTCGAACGGTCATGTTGCTGTTTTGGATTAAGCTAAATAGGTTTCTTGATAGTTCTAAACCTTCATCGTCTATCTCAACTTTCAGCCATTCCTGAAAAATAGGGCCTGTTGAAAATCTCCTATTTTTGGGCGATATTTTGTTATTATTCTCGGCTAAAGATTAAGCTTAATCTAATCAAGCGGGAAGAAAACAGAAGTCTTTTATCAATGAATTTAGCGAATACATTAGTAGGAGGATTGGTAGTGAATTAAACTCGTATTAAAATATTAGCAAGGTTCGTGTTTCTGTAGTAGAGTTATTATCTGATTGTACATTGCATACTATGAGGCGGGTCAATTTTATTTATAGAATAATGATCGAGTACGATCTGAGATGCTGGAAATTCTGTGAACAACAAATTTCATGTTCAATGTCATCCTGCAAATCACTTTACAATTTTGAATAAAATAATACCACTATAGAACTCTATTCGATTATTTTTGACATTTATTTTCTTGTTCGCATTTGCGCTATGTCAATGTCTAGTCATACATCAGATGGATTAAGGCGCTTTGCAGCCTTAGAGCCCATACCTCGAAATAACGTAGGTGAACGCTTAGTGAACTCTGACATTACCTCATGAAAACATCTTGCATCGAAATTAATCGCTGGTCATCGACAGATCATCTACTACTTGGGATACTGGGCTCATTGCACTGAAGTACATTGCAATAATACAATAATCTTTCTTCAAGAGAATTGGCCTTTAATGCAAAGCAATTAGAAGCTCCTTAATAATCAGCACTGGACTGTTTAGCCAGGTTTGGGTATAAATCAGTGCCTATAAAATACCAATCATGATTTTTTCTACTCTTTCACTAGCTTCCATCCTCCCTCCAACCAGCACCATAGCTTCGCTCTGTACCATAGTCGCACCTCAGGTAAAAACTGATTCGTATGCTTTTGTCATGCCCGGTGAGTACAATTCACAGAAGCAATTGCTGTCATTTACTATATATATTCTTCTCAGATCATTGTCTTGCTACGAGAGTCAGTTGAGGCGCCATGGTACAGTAGGAAAGAAGTCGGCTTCGAACATCAGAGGAGCCTGTTGCCAGTGTCGAAAAAAGGTGAAAATTAGATCTGACCTCAAATCTCCTTGAACAAGGAGTGTACCCGAGGTTGCTTCGATGCAATCAGCTGAGGAAATGGTAGCAAGTCGTTGACGTGTGAATAACAGGGGCAATATGATTTGAGTTCTGTTATTCTGGAGCGGTCAAACCAGAAAAGACGATAAGTACGGCGTCTGTTGTGGATGGTTGTCGCCCCGACTCACCTGACTGTTTTGTCAGCACAAGTTATGACCCAAAACATTTTCACACGAGAATAAGCTAATCGTACTCACTTCCAATCTTCTCGAACCTAAAGTAGAAAATACGTTTACTATGAACGATCATTGAATTGGTTAGCTTTACCGATTGATATTCTTCGTCCGTCTTCAAATGGTCCGATATGTACTCGATCGCTTCTATGGCCCTCCGTGACTCTCTGGATACCGGGTACTGAAACAGGAGGCTCTGCGGACTGGATTGGTCAGGTGTGAAGTCGGTCGTGTCACATGATTGGACGACGACCGGCGACTTCTCGCCAAACAAAGAGGTGGTTGGTGTGCGCTTGATGGAGAACTGTCGTGGCATATCGTGGAACAGCTGGCGCGATGACTTGTCCTCCTTGTGCCACGGCCGTCGCATGAGCAACAGCTTTGGTAGAAAGTTGAGGAACGTGTGGCGCACCCACAGAGGCATACGATGAGTGGTTGGTCCCCGGAAGAAAACGTTTATGATTATGACGGTGACGAGAATGGTGATGATATTGAGCAAGAACGTCAACAGCAGGTATTTCGCCATCAGCGGGATGGTGGACGACGTCGGGGGTAGGATCTTCGACACGAGCAGCAGGAAGACGACCAAAGACAGCAGCACGTTGATGGTCAGCGTGATCTTCTCGCCGGCGCACGTCGGCAGGTAGAAGACCATCATGCTGAGGAACGCCATCAGCACCGTCGGTATGATCAACACGACGGTGTAGAAGAGCGACTTGCGACGAATGCGTATGCGAAACTCGATCCTCGACTTCTGGCGCGTCAGCACCGCTGGGGCCTCGATGATATCCCAGATGGTGCTGGTGGAATAGTCCTGAAACGCGACACCTTCGACGCCATCGTTGAAGCTGAACGTGATCTCCCGCTCGTTGTACGTCCATGAGCCGAACAGCAACGTGCACACTTGCTCGTCGAACGGAAAGTACTCGACGTCGATGATGCACGAGCTTTTGTAGATCGCCGGCGGAACCCACAACATTTGTCCGTCATGGTCGACCACCACTTTGCTACTGTAAGACACCTCGTAGTTGCCGTCGGCGCTAAACTGGCGAAACTTACACAAAGTGCTACAGTGCCAAACAAAATCAATGAAAAACCGTATTCATCCAGA